TGGGTAATGAGTCACAAAACAAATAATCAAAACATTTCAGAGGTGAGGGCGCCAAAAGTGTCTTTGCCCCCGGGTGCTGAGAACGCTTGCTACGCCACTGTGGCAATGTCAAAAAGTACAGAAAAAAGGTAGGGATGAATACACAAAAACCATACAAAAATCCCTACATAATCAGCCAGTAAGTATTGGATCAATCTTACAAGCTTATGTAAGACTGTATAGAACTATTCAGTTTAAATGCTTTTATTCAAACCCGAATTAATGCAACTGACAGGAATTCAACATTTAGTTGTAAATATAAGTTGTTCTTGGAAAGATTTGGCTTATGTAACCTCTGTACTTTTTGGCACTGTCACCCCTACATCATAATTAATTTTTGCTATACAATTTTATTACTTGTTTCTGCTCTTTTTTTTTAAACAATTTCACATGAGTAGGTTGATAAGTGAACATTTGTTTTATCTTTATAATTCAATAGTAATATATATATTGTTAATATCACACCAGTTTTGTCAGTTTCTTCATTGCACTTGTAGAATGACCTCAACTATTAATATTATACTATACAATTGGGTACAAAAGGTCATTGGTCATAATCTTGATTTCTTGGGACTTAATCTACAGGAATCTACAGTAAGGAAGGAACATATAAAAATGTATAGCTGTATCATCTCTATATTTATGTTTACATTATTTTTGGCACTGCCATCCCTACACCATTTTACATTTACAAAATGTTTTTATTACTTGTTTCGTGACGTTTTTCCCCTGATTGAAAGTTAGTGTACTTAAAAAGCTTAAGTACAGGGTGAAACAGGAATTACCAGCCAATAACAGATGAACATTAAGTGACTGTAACATGTAGAATACTTAGTACACTATACAATCGATGTTTTTATGGAGTTAATCCCTATATTATGCAAGAAGTGATGGAGTAAAACAAAATCAATGCACGTAATATTAGATTTTATTACTCACATTCATACAAAGAAACATCAGATTTATGTAAGAAAGCTATCTTTAACGGAGTAATGATAACATAGCTTACACTGGCATTAAGGTGTTATTTTTTTAACCTTGTACTAAGCACTACCGTGTTTAGTGATAACCTGTACCCAAATACTCTTAAAATGTTTTTCTGTCGTAATAAAGCCGTTGCGAAAACTTCACACTATTTTTTGTTTAGTGTGAAAAAAGAAAGATGAACACTTTGGTTCTTAAGCTAGTTCCCAGTTCTCCACTTTAACAACACTTTTCAATGATATTGGGAGTCTCACAAGATGTGAAACACTCGATAATGGCAATTAGATGCTCAGTTAAGGCCATAACTCAGTTTTAGAAGTTACTTGTAAACAGATTGAATGCTGCAGCCATTTCTTTCTCGGCCCATCCCTACATTCTAAGCACTACCGTACTTAGTGATAAAATACACAGGAACACAATCTTAATTATCTTGTTAATGATATCAGTTCCCGCACTTTCAAAACATGGAATTTGAAAATTTTCTGAAACAAGAGACAAGTTTTATTCATTCACGACATCTTTTTATACTAACGTATGTCTCTTTACCTTTTCATGTCAGTTGTCATGACAACATTTTCTATCAACTTTTCTCTTTAACAAGCCGTTTAGCGAAAATACTCTCTATAGTGAATATTTTTAACTCTAACTACGTTGAAATAAATGAATTCTTGGCTCGAATTATGCAAAACATATAATAGCAAGATTTAGCTTTTATCACCTGTACCAAACATTTTAACGATAATTGAATATCTTTTCGAATAACGGGTCATAATTTTTCAAGAATAGAAAAATGGATCATAAGCTCGTGTTATTTAACTAAATTTGATATGCTTAAGTGGGTTTTGAAATTTGTATATATATAATATATATGTGTGCGTGTTTGTCACAATATATAATTTGTAGGTATGTTTTAATCTAAATAAATTAAAACGACACTTGTGCAATATATATATATACAATTAAAAGGAGTACAACGTTAAAATAATTGCGTATTATTTTTTTAAAAAAAACAAGGACCAGCCTCTAAAGGCTAGATGAAAATGGTGGCGCAAGAACACTGAAACATGTAGAGTCGTTTTAAGGCTGGTCCCTGTTTTTTGATAATTTATTTATTGTGCAATTATTTGCACTCCTTTTAATTGTATATATGTTTGAATCTTTTTATTTGAGTATAGTTATCCAGGTGGAACACAAGATGGATCCAAAATAAGACTACAAGAACAATAAAAGCCTCCCCAAATGTCTCTTGATATAAAATACCTCCATGTAGTGAGAGCTAGACACTATTCTTCAATACTGACTGACACCTTCATTTAGGCGATTATAATATAATGCATTATTTTGTAAAGTTCTAGTACAGTATTTTAACCTAAGTCTATGTAAATATTGTAGCATTAAGGCCGCACATTTCGGGAGTCGGATTGTAAACCTAAGGGTCCAGGTTTTGAGACGTGAAGTTGTTGATGCTGCCATTTAGCATAATTTTGTGATATCATCGCCTAATCTTTAGCTACACTATAATTTACATAAGATAGCTCACTGCAGCCTGCTGGGCTAGCTCATTAATAGAACACTCGTCTTAAACACTGCGCGTCTGACACGATTTACAAAAACTGTCATCATAGTCTTCGAGGTACTTCATTACTGACTTACCTTGTCTCCATAAATCATAGACGAAACCCTAAGTGTCCTACAACATAATCTAATAAAAGAAATATAGAACAATAAAAATATTACATTAACTGAATTTTTCTCTCTGTGTTATAAAGAGGTTCAGCGACAGTCATGTCAAACTGAACTGCACCTATGTAGGTGTGAACACCTGATTCGTTGTCGTATTTTTTAGAAAAGTTTTCCTGGCAGTTTTTTCCTCAGTTATGGTCTGTTGAGTTTAAACTCGGAGGTAATAGTTTTGTGGAACACTTAGTTAATGTTAGTGTCCTGAGATCGCAGTAAGAGATATGTTAAAAATAGTATCATAAACTAAGCCAGCATATGCTACATCTCTTAGCACTGTGAATATCTATGACATTACCCGTATAGTATATTAATGACTTAAAAGTGTAAATTAACAGAAAATAAATATTGATACTGTGAAGATAGATAATTAAAATAAACATTAGATATTAATAAATTATAAAAGCAGTAGTCTTATTGTACTTTTAAACATAACATTCTTTATTTGGTTCCTTAGGTTTTTTCATCCGAGAAAAAGAGCGTATAATAGTGTAACAAATGGCTTTTATAAATAGCCTTCCGACTACTACCGTGTTCGTTATGTCCTGGCTGCCTGATGAGTTCTAATACCAAGCGAAACGAAAACGCATCGTCAGCAATAGAAATAGCGGATATAACGTGGTTTAAATACTATTATACACTCGTCTCCTCGTAAAAAACACAAGGTGACGAATAAATAATGTAGTGTCTAAAAATACAATACGCCTAATACTGTTGTCTTATGGCAAATATATTAACTATAATCACACTTCGCCAGCAAAAGACTGGCAATATTCCGTTGGATTTGGAGACAGGCGCTTCTATACAGTGGGGGAAAAATCAGGAAATTCAAAAATAGTCAAAATCACTGTTAATAAAAAAAGGGCCAAATTTATAGCAAACGACACATATAATGCTGCAAATGATAATGATAATACAACAGTTGTAAACACTGTAATTTTACAAGTCTGTCATAATATGGCGTAATCTCAAATCATGTCAAGCAGATATTTTATTACGCATCTTTATCCTGTAAGGGTAAGAAACTTCAAATGTCATATCTTCGTAATACGTAGGCATTTTCCCTAGCGTGAATACCGTTAGGCAAATATGAATGTTAGTGAATAATAATTTAGATTCCCACTTGTGCCCTTGTAAGGTCCGTAAAACAAGTCGATTCGGCATGAGTTGCTAATGAACAAGGAATTTCAAGTTTTCAATCATGTTAAGATTATTTATTGTTAATTACTCTAGAAACTCTTGGCTATCTAGTATTAGTTGAGATAGTGAACACTTCTTCTAAAGACCAACGTTGATTTGTAAGCAGGCAACTGAATTTTACGATTCATTTTTCACAGGCTCAATTCCATTCTTGAGCTATTTTAGTGATCTAACAAAGTGACTTGAAGTGCTTTGCTGCGGTTAAAGAACTAATATTTACCGTCAACTGTTTCATTATATTATAGCCCCTAAAGTTTCCAAACCTCCCAAAAATTCTAGTCGAAAGAGACTTTTACTTGTGTCAGTTTTTTCTTGCTGTTTTCTGGCTCTGATATTGCAATCCAAGAAGGATGGATATGATTTGTATGGTGATATTAAATTCACCAGTTTACTATTTGTAATCTATCGTAAAATAAGTGTAATTTCACAAAATTAGCGTTCAATATATATTAATGCTATATAATTACTGAAACTCTGCAAACACACACCAAAAGAACAAAATTAGCGTTGAATATATATTAATGCTATATAATTACTGAAACTCTGCAAACACACACCAAAAGAACAAAATTAGCGTTGAATATATATTAATGCTATATAATTACTGAAACTCTGCAAACACACACCAAAAGAACAAAAACAGTAACATAAATAATACTTTTAAACAAAAAATTCAATTTGCGATATGAAACAAAGAAAAAAAACACATCAGATTCCTTTAACACAGCTTCAGATTAGCAGGCTTTCAACGTTCATGACACTCGGTAATCGTATCTTTTTCCTCCACTATTTCACGTGTGGTATTTTTTTTTTTTTGAAATTCGCTTATGTAATTGTTGCAATTGTTTCTTCTTATTGACTGCAACCAGAATAATTTTTCATAGCTGATGTTTTTCTATAGATTATACGTTAAAAAATAATAGAAAGATTTGTATTTAAATACAAATTAATATAATCAAAAGTTTTCAAATACTCACAAAGTAACGATAGAATATTAAATAACTGTTCTTTAAAGTGTTAAAATAAAACACATTTCTTACCTTTACAAGTAATATTCCGCATAGTACCGTGAATGTCACCTTAGAAACCACATTGTGCTTATAACTAGCTCCTTGCATGGTCCTTGAGTTTCAAACACCTTGTGATGTTATGACCTATTCTGAAACATTTGTAGGTTATTGTCTGTTTCTCAATTTAGATTCCTCCAACGAAGTTCGCCCGGTCAGTTCCAAGAAGACCACACTAATCAACTTGTCCAAAGTAACGCTTCAATAACAAAATATAGCACATGTATTTTATGTGTTTGTCTGGCCTTGAGCTGGTACTAAAAATCCTTAGTATTGGACAGTAGCAGAACAATAAACTAGGCCTTGTTCTTCTGAAGATAATGGCTTCACCGTTTAAAATACCAACGTCAGAGTTATCTGAAGAAAATAATGTAATGATTTTAACCGGCAGAAGACAGTTGTTTCTAACAATTCGAGAAAAAGTATGCATTAAAGGGTATACTGTGAGACAAACTACCTTCATCAAGAAAGTCACATCTTCGGACGTAACCTGTATGTTACATTCATTATCTTACTGGTTTGACAATTCTTCGCAATGGTAACGAAATTAATTCAAATAAAAATAATAAACAAATATTTGACGTTAAATACAAAATAATACTGCATTACTAGCTTTTATCCTAAAGTTCTGAGTAGTAAATAGCTTAAACAAACCTGATAATATTTACAATTAACTTAGTTAATCTAGTTCAAGGCGCGGCATAGGCTTTGTGAAAATCAACTCGAAAAACCTTGTGTAAATATTTCTTAGAGTGGAATCCTAGGTTTCTTCTCACTCAACTAGCTCTGCCGAGAGTATTGAACCCCGAGTTCTAGTGTTTAAAGCCCTAGCTTACTGCTGAGCCCCCTGCTACTAGTGATTAATTCTCTAAGCCATTTTTGTCTGGAATTTCATCAGATTATGGTTCTTCACTTGTACATTGCTCAGTACACACACATACACATGCATATATATGTATACGCATGCACACACATTATATATCAATACAAACTGAGTGATGGACGACATATTTTATTAGGTGTTCTAGATTTAGATTGCTAACAACCTCAAGAAAAATAACGAAGAAACAACAATTTATACGAAACCCAGGATGGAAGTCTCATTGCTATTCACTATTTATCAGCAGTAACCCCATAACATGCGAACTACATAAAAAAAACAAAAAACAAGTCGATATAAATCCTATAAGTAACAGAAAGTCGTATTTCACTGTTAAAATATATACTGAATAAATACAATCGCAACCTAATATCACCTAAAGTAATAAACCAACCAACTAAATGTGGTTCAGTACATATTCGTAATATAATGGCTTTTTTTAAAACTATAACAGTCCTCCGGTGGGTCGGCGGTAAGTTTACGGACTTACAAAGCCAGAATCTTGGGTTCGATTCCTCGTAGTGAAAGAAGTTATTATATATATATATATGTGTGTGTGTGTGTGCTTATAGAGAGAAGGTGGAGTAAGTATCATTAAAATGATTTGAATAAGCAAATCTACAAGTCATGTGACAACTACAACCGATATAAAGTAGTGGTGGAACGGATTGTATCAGAACTACATTTTGATTTTATATAAAGTTCATAGGTAGAGTGATGGCACCTCAAATTAATTGCTTTTAGAAAACGTATATAATAGCCCTTCCCGACGTAAAATATTCATACAGATGTGTTCATATCGGGGATTTAGATTTTATAAGATGGGGATATCTTTTGTACTTAATGACATTGGTAAACTAAGGAAAAAGAATGAATTGTATACAATGTTGGGATTAAGGTTTTACGATAACTAGCTCTTTATAAGAAACAAATCAGTGAAATCATCAGGTATTAATAGAGGTTATATCAAGATAAAACTAGAGAAGCTAAGTTTTAAATAATATAAAGTTATAATGTCAGCTGCAGTTTTCCAAATTTCGAAAGATTCAAAATCGAGAGGTTTTAGTAAAAAATGTGAGATTTTGCAAAAAGTAATGAGAAATTCTTTTCTGAAAATGTTGTACTTACGAGATAACTTTGGAAACCTTCATGAATTAGCAGCATGTACCTGAGAAATGTTAAATAAATATGTTCAAAATGATTGAGATTTCCAGTGATTTACTAGTTATGATTCTCTGGTATAAAAAAAGGACAAATCAGAGAAAACATAATACTATGTGGATGTGTAGCTGTATTCTTTGGTAATGTAAACATTTATATTCTTTTTATCTTAAGTTTTATTAAATTCCTCCTATTAAGGTTTTAAGGTTTCCCGGTGGCTCAGCGGTAAGTTTGGGAGCTAGTAACGCTAAAATTGAGGTTTGATATCTACAGTTGGCATAGCGCAGATAGCCCATTGTATAGCTTTACACTTAAAAATAAACAAACTTTCTATTATATACAAAATTTACGTTTCCTATTTCTTAAGTCACTAAGTCATCAGTAATCACTTATGCCATTTTAGCAGTCACATTTTAACTCTTCCAATGTGTTTGCTGTTGTAAAATAATAGAATAATTATTTGAACTACATTGAAAAATATATTTACCATATGTAATTTAAAATAAGTAAATAAACTAACGACTAACATCATATAATAGACTGTTAATGTTATTTTTAACAACGTTTAACTTCTTCAGGATGTTTAGTCTAGCGCAGCTCAAAGGAAGTTTTGAGCTGTTTTTATATGTTTTTGAGATAGTTACTATAAAAATCAAAATAACTAAGCAGGTTAGTAACTTTTAAAATAAATGCATGATTCTATTTGTAATTCCGTAAAGTCACTTTTTAGAATGTTAAGGAAATCCATTTGTAACTCTTTTCCGAATCGAACTTTTAATTCGAATTAAAAGGACAACATATATTTGCAAAGTTTAGTATTAAAGAAAAACCACTACGATTTTTAGAAACTTGATCAATTATATTTGTTATTATTTAGCATGAAGTTCAAAACAGTTGGAGAAACTTACTTGTTTTGTGGAGATTTTTAAGTCACTTGAAATACCCGTGAACTTGAACCTGAGAAAAACAAACTAGGTAACAAGACTTCTATTTGGATCACAAACAGCACAACCTCAACGAATACGACCTTCAGAATTAGGATTTTTTTTCTCCAAAATTTTTAATTCCTGTCAGGAAATATTTTTGTCGCCTCCTTTTACTTTTTCTTGACTTTAAAACTATATTTTAACTGAATGTTTTTTTTTATCTTTAATGCTTGGGGAATTTTATGATACGACTGCGGCCAGAGCTAGGCCCAATTTTACTGCGCTATATTCAACACATGAACTTTACTTTTACCACACTACTTCTCTAGGTACCACTATTTGCTACCCTGCTACTTTCCCTCAACTTCCGGCTTACTGTCAGCCAATAAGGTATAAAGAATGAGCTACTTGCTTAGGGTGACATCTTTTGAGAAAAACAGTAAACATACATCTGTAAGAGTTTAATAAAATAACAAGAACAAGCAGACATTTTCTTTGAAATATTTTAGCAATGAATAGTTCTTTAGAAAAAAAAATTATGTTTAAATTCTAGAAAAGGGATTACACTTACACAACAGGAAATTGAATTTCTTAACCATATTAATTTCAATAATAAGCATGCATAGTAACTATTGTGGATTTCCATTAACTATTTAACTAGTTGTATTATAAGAATTCAGTTCCAATCCTACTTATTATGCAATTACTTTTTATTACAGGCATTCAGTTCTAACTCTATTAACTATATAATCAGTCTTTATTATAATCATTCAGTCTTAACGCTATTATGTTTAATAATTAAAATATTAAATATATGTAAGATATTTATTATTATCATTAATTAATGATACACATATTTTGTGTACTATGGTAATTATTTTGCACTGTTAGCTCAATATACGGATTTAAGACTAAATTAAATCTCCTAAATTGACTGAACTTCGGGAGATATTTCTGAATTTACGCCCGAAAATATTGATAATAGTAAAGGATCTCAAACTATAAATCAGTGCATTCTAATCATTAAAACCTTTGTTTTATGACATTGCATATTCCCAATTAGACTGGAATTTAACCTAGCTATATTAATTACTGAATAAATGTTTTGTATTGAGCTACGTTTACAGCATGCTTTGATGAGAAGTCATTGATAATACACAATTTAAACTTTTAGTTTGTTTGTATGTAAGCACAAAGCTGCACAATGGGCTAACTGTGCTCTGCCCACCACGGGTATCGAAACCCGGTTTCTAGCGTTGTAAGTCCGCAGATACTGTGGGGGAGGGGCTTAATTTTTAGTATAAGTGTTCAGTTCCAGTTCTACTACTATTTGATTAATTTATACTCAGTGAATTCGGCTCAGAATCTGTTAACTATATATATAATCAGCCTCTGTTACAAACATTCAATCTCAATTCTGGATATAATACCCTCGTCGACTTTAAAAAGAATGGAAATATAAAAGTTAATATACTTTCATGCCTATAGTTTATATCTTCAAAATACTACTACTAAACTTTAGTATGACAGTCAATTCTACGTTCATATAATTAGAGTTATATAGTTTTAGTATAACTCATAATTTCATTTCATAGACAATTATCTAGTACGTTTATATAACACTAAAATAGAGGATATCTCTTCTGCTACAAAAAAGACAAAGCTAAGCTTACATTTCATTTTATAACTGTGTTAAATATATTCGGCTGATCACGTGCTTATAACTTTCCAGAATTGTGAGACTGGTATTAATTTTAACGAAATATACTTTTCAAATGGCATGGTCTGATGGTTAAGACACACGACTCACACTCGGCGGATTGTTAGTTCGAATCTCGTCACCGAACATGTTCGTCCTTCCAGCCATGAGGATGTTGTAATGTGATGATCAGTCCCATTTTTCGTTAGTAAAAAGTAGCTCAGGAGTTGATGGTATTCATTTCTAAATTAGATATGGCTAGCGAAGATAACCCTCAAGTATCTTTGCGCGAAATTCAACAAAACAAACAGTTTAAATATTTATTACGAAACAATAATGTATCGTCGCTGTG